CTGCGGCCGCAGCTGGCAGATTTTCCTTCGACTCCGGCCATCCTGAGCGGATGGTCTCTACCAATCGCTTTGCTTCGCCGCTTCCCGGATTTCTTCTACGGTCGCATCTCTTAGCGGCAGTAGCTTCACTATGCTGACATCTTCTTCTTTTAGTTCATGGCCTTCTGCCGGACAGCGGGACAGGGTGTCCGCGAACTTCATTTCGCGGCCCGGTCTGTAGATGAGTTTTACATTATATCTCTGAATTGACAGCAGCATTCGCTGCAAGCGCAGGGGAAGCTCATCCAGCGGTTTATTGACGATATTTATGAGGGGTCGGTGATCGGTGTACACCGTTACTTGCTTGGGAAATATGAAGTAATGGAATCGATGGAGTGCGTACCTTATTGCGAGAAGCTCTTTTTCAATTTGAGCGCACCTTTTCTCTGTCGCACTCATCGATCTGCTCTCGAAGTATGCTGCCCGGGTGTCCTGGATCAGTGCCGCTCCCACACCGTCCTTGCTTGCGTCGCATTCGATTTCTATCAGCTTGCCGGGGTAAAGAAAAGCCAGCACTGGGCTGCGGCTAACCATTGCCGTTGCTGTCCTGAAGGCTCTCTCCTGTTACGGTCCCCGCTTCCACGCCTGCCCAGCTCTGCATAGTTCTCTCAAGGGACTCAAGTGTTGAGCCAAGTCTGGCAAGAATCGCGATATATGGGCCAACATGCCCAGGAAGCTCTTGAGGCCGATTACGTCTTTCGGCGGAGTCATTTTGGCAATCGATTCCTTTTTACCCGGATCCATCTGCAGCCCCTGCTGTGTCGGCACGAATCCGAAAAATTTGGTATTAGTTGCAATCAGGGTTGTCTTCGCTTTGTTGAGTTTAATTCCTCTCTATCGACACCTTTGTAGAAAACGTCGTAGGTTTCTGTCGTGATCCCTGCGCGCCTCCTCCTGTGTGTCCCCTTTGCCCACCACCAGAACGTCATGAGCCAGGGCATAGGTTCCGTCCAGCCCCTCCAACAATAAACCAGGTTCTTGTAGAAGATCTCAGAAGCGACGTTCAACCCGAACAGCATCCTCAGGAACCGAAACCGACCGAATGGCGTCTGGAAGGTGGTCAAGTCTCTGCTTGCCTCGTTGAGTTTGCAGTGCCAGAATCCGTTCGCAAGGTCGAACTTTGAGAACAGTCCGACCCTGCTCAGCTGGGGAAGTATCTCGTCGAAAGCTGGTGTATGATAGACCTCTCTTATCAACCCCTGATTCAGCTGCCTCGGATCCAGGCAAATTCGCAAGTCTCCCGTCTTCTTGATCTGCAAGGATAGCCGGTTCACCCACTGCGTCGGCATGTGTACTTTTTCAATGACGCCTCGTTGCGCCAGTTCTTCCAGCTTCTTTTTGAGTTGCACCCGCAGGTGTGAGGGTACGCTGCAAGACACGTCGCAGGATGGTACCGTCTCCGGCTTGAGCGTGAGCGCGATTTCGCCGGGAAACTCTCCAAGGCGTCCGTCGAACACCGTGGGGAATTGAGCAGCTAGTTTTTCAACCGCTTGCTGCTTCCAAGACTTTTCAAGCTCTGTCTCGTTTTGTACTGCGTCGACCCTCTCATAGTTGACTGTGATGAGTTCCATTTCCTCCGCCGCGAATCGTCCAATTATCGGCCGTAGGTCTTCCTCCACCACTACGGATTCAATGTTGTGTTTTTTGCTGGTCTTGATAAGACTGAGGGCGAGTGTTGTTTTGCCGATCGATTGTATCGATTTGTTGTTGTATACTCGCAGCCTAGGTTTCTCGGACGTGTTGATCCGCGCTAGCGGCACCAATGCCCTCGGAATCACATTGCAGGATGCTCCGCAATCAGCCTGGTACTTTATGATCCTGTCGCGACTTTCTTCCACCGCGCAGCGCGCGAATATCATCTTTCCTCTCTTCGAGACAATTGATGGTAATGGTAATGGTAATTTATTGATCTAGATGGGTCTTCTATGTATATTACAAGATGGCGCATCAGCCTTTCATGTCAGGCGCTATTAAGCAGATCTTTGGTCTCCTTCTCCCATTTTTCTAGGATTCGTTTGGTATTTGTCACGATCGAAGGGTCCTGTATTTCCTCTTGGAGGCCTAATCTTGAGAGGAAATCTTCGTCCGCGTAGTATGCGTCGTAGCATTCGAAGATCACATGTTTTAGGGTCTCTTCAAATGTTCCGCATCTGGGGCAGGTGTCCTCCTGCTGTGGGTCAATAGACCTACCTCGGCTTTTCGTTGGTGATATTCCCGCTCTGGCCAAGGCCAGGAGAGTGTCCCCTCTCCGGTTTCCGTAGAGGAATGTTTGGATACCGAGGCTGTTCTTGCCTTGCCGGTAAACTTCTAGGCTTGATTTCAGCATCATGTCCTGTCTCCAGACGCTCTCCTGGGTTTCTCTAATTTTCTTTTTTATCTGAGAGTTATAGGTATTCAA